GGTAGTAGTAGTAGTAGAAGTAGTAGTAGTAGTAGTAATAGTAGTAGCAGTAGCAATGATGGATGGCTGGATGGCAAGTGCTGCCTTTTTGGTGTTTCTGACCTGTTTCTGACCTGTTTCTGACCTTTCCCGGAGTCCTCTTCAACTTCAAAAAAATCAGCACGGGCAGTCAAACTAGGAACAATTTTAGTGATCGTCAAAGTAATATCATTACTAGTACCCAAAATACTAGTACTAGTGCTACTAGTAGTACTAGTAGAACTAGTAGTACTAGTAGTACTAGTAGTAGTAGTAGTAGAAGTAGTAGTAGTAGTAATAGTAATAGTAGTAGTAGTAATAGTAGTAGCAGTAGCAATGATGGATGGATGGATGCTAGGCAAGTGCTGCCTTTTTGGTGTTTCTGACCTGTTTCTGCCCTGTTTCTGACCTTTCCCGGAGTCCTCTTCAACTTCAAAAAAATCAGCACGGGCAGTCAAACTAGGAACAATTTTAGTGATCGTCAAAGTAATATCATTACTAGTACCCGAAATACTAGTACTAGTGCTACTAGTAGTACTAGTAGTACTAGTAGTAGTAGTAGTAGAAGTAGTCGTAGTAGTAATAGTAGTAGTAGTAATAGTAGTAGCAGTAGCAATGATGGATGGATGGATGCTAGGCAAGTGCTGCCTTTTTGGTGTTTCTGACCTGTTTCTGACCTGTTTCTGACCTTTCCCGGAGTCTTCTTCAACTTCAAAAAAATCAGCACGGGCAGTCAAACTAGGAACAATTTTAGTGATCGTCAAAGTAATATCATTACTAGTGCCCCAAATACTAGTACTAGTGCTACTAGTAGTAGTAGTAGTAGGAGGAGGAGTAGTAGAAGTAGTAATAGTAGTAATAGTAATAGTAGAAGTAGCAATGATAAGAGCTGAGGTGGATGGATGGATGGATGGATGGATGGATGCTAGGCAAGTGCTGCCTTTTTGGTGTTTCTGACCTGTTTCTGACCTGTTTCTGACCTTTCCCGGAGTCTTCTTCAACTTCAAAAAAATCAGCACGGGCAGTCAAACTAGGAACCATTTTAGTGATCGTCAAAGTAATATCATTACTAGTACCCAAAATACTAGTACTAGTGCTACTAGTGCTACTAGTGCTACTAGTACTAGTACTAGTACTAGTACTAGTACTAGTAGTAGTAGTAGTAGTAGGAGGAGGAGTAGTAGTAGTAGTAGTCGTAGTAGTCGTAGTAGTCGTAGTAGTCGTCGTAGTAGTAGTAGTAGTAGTGGTGGTAGTACTAGAAGTAATAGTAGTAATAGTAGTAATAGTAGTACTAGTAGTAGTAGAAGTAAAAGTAGTAGTACTAGTAGTACTGGTAGAAGTAATAGTACTCGTAGAAGTAACAGTACTAGTAGAAGTAGTAGTGCTAGTAGTGCTAGTAGTACTAGTCGTACTAGTAGTACTAGTAGTACTAGTAGTATTAGTAGTACTAGTAGTACTAGTAGTACTAGTAGTACTAGTAGTACTAGTAGTACTAATAGTACTAGTAGTATTAGTAGAAGTAGTAGTACTAGTAGCACTAGCAGTACTAGTAGTACTAGTAGTACTAGTAGTAATAGTAGTAGTAGTAGTATTAGTAAAAGTAGTAGTACTAGTAGTACTAGCAGTACTACTAGTAATAGTAGTACGAGTAGTACGAGTAGTACTTGTAGTACTAGTAGTACTAGTAGAAGTAGTACTAGTAGTACTGGTAGTACTAGTAGTACTAGTAGTACTAGTAGTACTAGTAGTACTAGTAATACTAGTAGTACTAGTAGTACTAAACTTGTACTAAACTTGTACTAAACTTGTACTAAACTTGTACTAAACTTGTACTAAACTGGTGAATAACGTCATTTAGGTTGGGGCCCGCCTTGTACGATAGACTCAAAAAACAAAAAAACAATTTCGACCTCCTGAAGACTAAAACCCTAACCGCCCTTTTTGTTTGTAACTCATATGCTAACTCCCCTACATCTCAGAATCCCCACGTCAAGCCAAACCAGAACTTGAATACATCTCTTACTTTGATTTGCACATGCCACACATGTGCTTACGCACAGTGCTTACGCAGCACATTCTTGACAAAACCCCTTACGCCACCTTGCGCCAACCAGGGTTTTGCTTACGCCAAATGCTCATATGACAAGGCCCTAATTAAAACAATTCAAAACGGTTTTTGGGGTCGCTCAAGTAATGATGAAAAATTGCCAGCTTGAAATCAATCATTGGGCGATGGCATTTCCACACAGAACTTGGCTCACGCTCGCTCGCCATAATCCACAAATCCCCCATCACCGACGAGCCAGCTGAAAGAAATCAACGGGATCATCAATGTGAAGGTTTAATAGTGATGCTGGGAGAATGTCTAAATATGCCCACAGTTTGACACCAGAAAACCATAGCAAAATTTGTGAATTCTCGAGTCTACTTTAAAATTTTAGAGTTGCCTCTAAAATTTTAGAGGAGGAACCTCTGGGGTACCCCAAAATGAGCAGTTTACCAGCTAATTCTGGGGTGTGACCCCCTTCCTCTAAAATTTTAGAGGAAGGAAGCTCTGGGGGTGGTCTGGGGTACTCCAAAATGAGCAGTTTACCAGCTAATTCTGGGGTGTGACCCCCTTCCTCTGAAATCTTAGAGAATTTTAAAGTGGATACCTTTTGGGGAAACCAAACATCACCATTTGCCACTGGTTCACCCGTTGCCGTCGGTGAGTCTCTGCTGGGATAAGCAAACCAATTGTCATGTCATAATTGTTTAAACTCATTGGTGTGATTGGCTGCCACATGGCGTCAAGACCATCATGTTTTTTTTACATACACCCTTACCTTCAAATCTCGGACCAAAACTGAACACTCAGGGTGCCAGTTGGCCTCGCTAATTTCTTGATCCATGTCGTCAACTTTGAGCCAAGAATGAATCGAGGCAGCCAATAATCAGTTTACAAAGAACATGATCTCCATCACCCACCATGCAAGAACAATGCAATGATGTGTCAAATCCCAATGATAAATCAACCATCCCAACTTTAAATTATCTTTAAAACTCTTTAAAATTCTCTAAAATTTTAAAGTATGTCATTATTTTTTTAAGATGTTTAAAGAGGTTTAAAGAGGTTTAAAGAGCTTTAAAGAGCTTTAAAGAGCTTTAAAGAGGTTTAAAGAGCTTTAAAGAGCTTTAAAGAGCTTTAAAGAGCTTTAAAGATGTTTAGAGTTTATTTACCAAAATTTCACCAATTACCAGGGTCACATCGAGTGAGGTCTCCCCCCAACTCTATGAGATCTGATATACTGATTAAAACATAATATAGTAAATATGTTGAGGTATTGACATATTTAGTATGTTGAGGTACTGACATATTGAAATACTGATATCGATATATTGACACACTGGTTTATTGCTACCAGGTATACTGCTAAACTGATATTCATGTACTGCTAAATTGAAAAATTGACATACCGAACTTTTGGAATATTGATCTACAGTATATTGGTATTTTGGTCGAATCATATATTGATGTCATGATGTATTGATATTTGATATATTGAGGCGTATTGCTATAGTGATATAGACACTGACAAAGATAAGGCTGTCGATATTGATTTGGTGGTCGATCTAAAAAGGTCCTTGTAAGGAGTTTTAATTGCGAAAACCGTGCATGTTATGTTGGAAACCCTCGCGAAAGTTTTTTTCGAGTTCGCGAAAGTAACATTTTTTTCGCGAAAGTTTCGCGAAAGTTGGATATCATGATTGCCGGTTCCGCGAAAGATAAACATGGAGTTCGCGAAAGTTTCGCGAAAGAAACATTTTTATTCGCGAAGAATGGCCGTTCCCGGATAAAGGATTTTGATCAACTCATATTTGATATTAACTGAATTGATTGATGTTGCTTGATATTGATTAATGTTGCTTGGCGCTCATTGATAATGGGTGATATTGATTGATTTTGACTTGTGTTGATTGAATGGTTGGCTGATTGACTGGTTGATTGACTATTGTTTGATTGCTGGGTGGTGATGATGATGCGATGTTGGTGAAGAGGGTGACCATGGTGAATGATGATGGCGATGAGGGACGATGACCATGGGCGCCAAGATCACGATGATAATGCCTCCATCCTAACGCACAAGGTTAAGGTGGAGCTGTTTGTCCTGATAAATTCGACTTCATGCCCACTTTCAGCGTTGTTTGAAAAGACTGGTCCACATGTCCACGTGATTCCACGTGTGTATAGATGGAAACATATCTTCTAACGCGAGATAAGCAAAGCAGATTGAAGACAACATGCCTGTGATATGGCGTGGTAGAACGGGTCAAGCCCCCCTACATCAGGTTACGAGGGTTGTCTCGCAGGGGGGCCGGGTTGACTAATGTTGACTATATGAAGTCATCACGTGGTTGGCGCTTCCTAACCACCATCAGCCTTGTAGAGCAAGAGCAACTACAGCTTCAGCTAGCAGTTTGCGACATCATCTGGGCGTTGGTCAACTTGCTTCAGCAATATGACCTGTACATGTTGATCACTATGAATATCAAACATCTTTTTTTAACCAAGGTGTACGTTCGGCAAGTGTTCATTCAGCATCTTTGATGGACAGTTCATTAACCCAGCTTCGCAAACCAACAGCAGTGACGGTTCCAAATTCAAGGCTAAGGGACACAAGTGAGAGATAACTGGAAGATCACATCTGGGAGGCAATTGGGAAACTAGTGGGAACCACATCTGAGAGACAAATGGGCGTTGTGAGGAACAAGCGGAAGACAAGTGGGAAACATCACGGGACAATTGGCAAACACGAGACAATGGCAAGGCCACATCTGCAAGGCAAACGCGAGACAGTGGGTGACAAGTGGGAACATCTGAGAGACAACTGGGAAACAAGTGGGTGACAATTGGAAGACACTAGGAGGTAATTGGGATACCACCCACCGGCTCCTAGAGATTGAAGCTTTCTGCTGTTGGGAATAACGTGTTTGAAAGCACCAGGTTTGCTTGAGGAAGGTCGTCTCCCCAACTGGATAGGCAGCAACTTGGTCTCTCTACCTTCATGCATTTCCTGCACTCCTGCCACCCACATCTCAAATGAAATGGGAAACTATTTTGAAAATCGGTTTCTGCCTCTTAAATGAAAATAGGCAAGTAGAATATGGATTATTTTTGTTTTTTTTTGGAAAGATTCAGCCCAGGTGTGGGTAACCTGATTTTATCAAAGCCTTTCACATACGTCGGCACTTGGTTCCAGCTTGGCCATTGGCCCTGTAATTTGACTTCGAGGTTGCTCCAAGCCACATCACCATGGTTGATGTCAATGCCGCGCTCCACCAGCATTTTGCATAGAGCCAAAGCCTGCAATGAATGCCGGACGTCGGGAGTCAGGGATAAGGGATACTGCTCCCAGCTTTTTGAATCGCCCTGAACCACAGTAATTACCCCTCTTTATACAACCAGTCGTTGCAGGGAGGCTTTGGGCTGCGGGACTGTGCCTCGGCATCCTGTCCAACCCGCCGTGCCGCTGCAAAAAAAACAATCGTCTGATTAGCTGGTTTGTAGCCTCGAAAAATGGGCTGCAAAGGATTCAGCACATTCAGGTTGGCTGAGATTGTTAACTTGCACGAGCTAGTGCCGAAATAGAATATGCGTTTTCCAGGTGTTCTGGAACTTGCCAGGTTTGAGATTGCAATCGTATGTGCGTCGGACAAGGATCAGCTACATGTTGGCAAATCTTTGCCTATAGGAAGTTATATTCCTCAGATACCTCAAAATCAGGACAAAAAACAATATTGTTTTTTTTTCCAAGCAAAACATATTCGTTACTTTATGATCAGGGAATGATGCTCACATGATTGATTATTCATGTAGAGCTGCCAGTACCACGGCATAAAGGCTCAAACTAAGAGCCTACGATGGAGAGGAATATAACTATATATATAATATACATACATACAATATCACCATTGTTTTGTGTTGTTAGGTGCTGTTCATGCGTCTTTTCCCTATAAAGGGGCATCTCAATATCAAGAAAAAGGAAGGACAATCTCAGTTCTGACTCTGGTTGGCCTTACATTCATTGCATGAAAACTTCCAAATTATAAATCCCACGCAAGAAAAAACACCTATTCATATTCCAGTGGCGAACAACAAATTTCAGAAGTTCCAGTGGCGAACAACAAATTTCAGAAGCACACAAATGAGGTTTCTACATGTAAAAGTGTGATGTATCCATTCTTTTGAAGAAAAGATGATAGAGATATCCCTTATACCCCTGGCCAATCCAACCACAAGAATGAACAAATACCCTTCTAAAAAAGGGACATCTCCATTCTGAATGCATATGGTTTCATTCTTTGGGAAAAGATGTAAACCATTCAGAGTTCCACAGAAAAAAAAGATTGGAAATTAAACATGTCCGCAAAAATTCTCCATTCAAAACGGTGGTTTCTCCATTCAGAATGGAGAACGGAGATTTCTCCATCCAGAACGGAGATTTCTCCATTCAGAATGGAGATTTATCCATTCAGAACGGGGAGACTTCTCCATTCAGAATGGAGGTTTCCCCATTTCTCCATTCTGAATGGAGAAAAAAATGAAAAAAAAACATTACTTAGACTGGAGGATTTTTTTCCGCAGAATGGAGATTTGTCAATTCAGAATGGAATTTTCTTTATTCTGAATGCAGGAACAAAAATCAGTAGTTAAAATGGAGAAAATTTCCATTCAGTATGGAGAAATCTCAGTTCAGAAGTTAGAAGGAGAAATCTCCATTCAGGATGGAGATTTCTCCATTCTGAATGGAGAAAATGCTCTGGAAGAAACAAGAAAAACACATTTTAAAAAAAGGTTCATAACGCGTCTGAAAAAGTTTGAATGGAGAAATCTCCATTCTGAATGGAGATTTCTCCATTCCGAATGGAGAAAATGCCCTGGAAAAAAAAGATAGACAAATTAAAAAAAAGGTTCGAAACGAAACGCTTCTAAAAAAGTTTGAATGGAGAAAATCTCCATTCAGAATGGAGATTTCTCAATTCTGGATGGAGAAACAGTGAATCATAGTTTCGAAAAAAAACACAGATATATGATATATATATATATATAAACAAAAGCCTTCAAAAGTCTTTTGACAAAGGCAGAATGGAGAAATCTCCGTTTTTTTTCCCGATCTCTCAGACAAAAAAATATTGAAAAATCATGTCCATTCAAAAAAAATAAGCGTCGTTTCACCTATTTTTGAAATTAAAGAACGTTTTTTTTAACTACGGCAAAACGCTATTCAAAAAAAGTGAATGGAGATTTCTCCATTCTGAATGGAGGTTTCTCCATTCAATTTTTTTTCAGAAGCGTTTTGAACTTTTTTTGAAATGTGTATCTATTTTTTTTTCCAGGACATTTTCTCCATTCTGATTTTTTTCCAGAATGGATCTTCATTCACTTTTTTTGAAAATTCACATGTTTGTTTGCAAACCATGAATGTTTTTTACTTCAAAAGTAATTAGTTGAAAACACTTTTTTTGTTTCTGAATGGAGATTTCTCTATTCATTTTTTTGGGGTGCAGATTTCTCCATTTTTTTTCAGCTGCGATTTTTGGGTTTTCACCAGTAAAATGCAGAAATCTCCATTCTGAATGGTGATTTCATCATTTTTTTTTTGGTTGAACAAATTCTCTATGTTCTTTTTTCAGCTGTGTTTTTTCCGTTTTCACCAGAAGAATGAATTTCTCCCCTTTTTTTTGGTTGGAAAGTTCTCCGTTCTTTTGCGTTCAACTGCGAATCTTTCCAGTTTCACCAGAAGAAGTGAAGAAACCTGCTTTCTGAATAGATTTGAATTTTCTCTTGTTCAAACTACATTTCCTTTTTGCACCAAATTAGAATGGAACAAAATATCATTCTGGGGGTTTCTCTGTTTTTTGGTTGGAGATTTCTTCATTTTTTGACTGTGAATTGTTCATGTTATCCAAGAGAATCGAACAGTCTCCATTCTGAAGCGAGATTTAGCCTTTTCTTTTCATTTTCAGCATTTTTCAGCAGAAGAATGCAACAATCCCCAATCTTTCTTTTGTCGCTTACTTTTTGCCAAAAAAAACTGGAACAAGGAAGCACCTTGCAACACAGAGAAACCGCCATTGAGAATGGAGACGTATCCAGTCCTTTTTTGGTTTGTCTTTTTGAAATTTCTTAGAATAGTGCTTCTGCATCTTGAATCTTTAATGTTAATCAAAAAATGGAACCATAACCATTCAGAACAGATAAATATCCATTCCGAATGGAGACAGAATTTCACCAAAAGGATGCATCAACCTGCATGTAAAATGGAGAAATATCGGTTCTGGATAGGCAAATCTCCTTGTATGCTTTCGTTCATTTTCGTTCAAGTTTGACCAAAAGGAATGAAACACCACCTGTTCAGAACCAACAACTTTCATTCAGCATGAAGATTTCTCCGATTCATTTTCGAGCACATAGACACTTTCCTCTTCACCATGGGAACAAACAACAGTCCATTCAAATGCTTCATTTCTACATTGCTGTCCTCGTGACTGCAGCACCTCTGAGTTGGATTTTTTAAAATTTACAAGTCCAGGTTTCTCAAGTCCTGGGTTATGTTTTTTGCTAGCTTCCAAATCCGGGTTTTCCCACAGGGTGAGTCCGTATTCCCTACACATGTTGAAACGCTTCTTTTTTGCTATTCCCCACCAGCTGGTGCAAGTTAACAGCTGAGATATACCAAATGATTCCTTCAGGATGCGTCTTATCATATCTTATCATATCTTATCATATCTTATCATATCTGGTCTGTATATGCCCCTTTTTTCTCATGTTTGGAACAAATTTCAAACTGATCATGAGATATTCTGAAGTCAACTGAATTCCATTGCCAGGCCACGGGCCGCAAGCGCGGGAAAGGAGGATGATGTGATGATGCCTTCGGCATCTCCAAAAGGCCCGTCCTCGGGGTTTTCGGAGGTGTTTTTTGCCCGCCCTGAAAATTGTCGGGTTTCTGCCTCTTCTTAGTCGTTTCAACCCTTGGAATGGAATCACCATCTCACTCTTGGGCCCAAGGCCCAACCGAGCCGATCGTTCTCAATCAAGACTTTCCGGAGGCCTCTACTTCTAGGTGTAACAGGCCCCAGCATGCCTGACGTGAAGTGTTCCCTGTTTAAAGAAATATAAAACCAGTCAGGGTGTCCAAGTTTCATACATGTCGATACATGTTCAGTCTGTCATTTATCTCTGTGTTTCCGTACCCTGCAGCCAATTTGAAGCAAGATTCCTTCACGGTAAAAAACATCGCGTTTTTTACCTTCGCCATTGCGACGAAATCGGAAATATAGCACACTGCCGTCTGCCGTGCTCCTTTCGGAGAGACCAAGAAACACAATAAACGTAACATCAATAAACCTGGTTGATGGTGAATCAATCCAGAATAACCCAGTGAGGGTGAAATTCCAGTTCCCTCGTTTTTTTATGTTCGTTTTTGTTTGAACCCCCATCTCGGTGGTTGAAATATTCATGTGTTTTGCGCTGTTGAAGTCCAATTTCTGTTGGATAAGTGATAAGTACCGTTCTTTTCGCTCAAATTCCTATTTTGATCCGCTTGACGTTTGCAGAGCAAAAAGGAATGCGGTAAATGTGGTGCAGTCATGGGCATTCCACTTGTGGAATGCCGTTTGGGTAGCAGTCTGCATTATTCTTCAATTCAGGCCAAATACCCAAAAAACCTCCAAAGAACAATATGGGAAGTCAATGTGCCAGATACAAGCAGCAGTAGCCATGGAACAGCAAAAGATGAGGTTAGACATTACCACAACCGCGCAGCAGGACCTTCTATATAGGTCTATATAGAGCATCTCACAAGAGCGGCATAAAATTAACTTCCTCGGAGCATCCCAGAAGAACTTTCATACAAGCACCAATGCAAAGCATCTTCAAGATCTTAATGCCAGGACATCTCGAGGATTTTCAACAGGATCCCCACAAGATCTTCTCAAGGACCTGTACGAGATCATGTAAGGACACCTACAGGATTTCACCCGGGCCTCTTCAAGAGCTTCTCACAGGGCCTGCGCAAGATCATGCAAAGGTCTGACGGTATTTCACAAGGATCTCCACAAGATCCTTTCACAAGGGCCTGTAAAAGGCGGTGACCAAGATCTTCAGGCCAGAACCCCTATAAGAACGTCACAAGACCGTCGCAAAGGAGCGGATCTTACAAGATCTTGACACAGGAACCTCCCAGGAGCCTCCCACAATAGCTTTCATACAAGCACCTCTAGGAAATGTCATCTGCAATATCTTTATGCAAGAACCCCCGAAAGAGGATCTCACCAGGATCTCCACAAGACCTTCTGTTAAGGACCTGTACAGCATCATGCAAGGACCTCTTAGAGAGGAATTTAGCAAAATCTCCACAAGAGCCCGTTCATGCAAGATTTAGAATGAAAATACCGCAGGCGAAGGGCTTGAGACCATCAGAGATTGTCGGATCCGCACCTGATCATCTGACCATCAGATAGATGATCATCCTCATTTTCTTCCTCCTCCTCCTCCTCCTCCTCATCATCATCATCATCATCATCATCATCATCGGACATGAAATTCATGAACTGTGAGTGCTTGCCAGGAGCTCATGCCTCCGTTGTGCTCAAGGAAGTAGAAACCGATACACCGAGACCGATTCTGCGTCTGAAAATGCGTTCTTGGACTGACGGATCAAACCTGCAAATGATGTCTGTGCTTCAATCAAGATAGAATTGACATTAATTGATGCTCAATAGTGAAGAGACACAACTTCCACCTCAGGTTGGTCTCAATGCTGTCTTGCACCAAATTTGACCAATCTGCATTCTTCCTGTTTACCGTTCCATCTTTTCAGCTGCAGGTCTCTGTGTTCGTCGCCTGTGGAAAGCAAAGACTCTGCCAAAAGGGGGTGGTTGTGTTTGCAACAGTTCTTTCGATCAAGCACACATATGGTTCTCCCAAGTAAAATAGCAAACTTACGCCGAGCCGAGTGAAACACTGACAGAAGTGGATGCTTGTGGCCGCTCACTGAAAGCACCGCCTTGGCTGTTGAATGCTGTTGACATGGTGCATTTGTTCGTGGCTTCCGGGCAATTACTTCCCAAGGTCATTGGTAGATTCATGATTCTGTCGTGATATTCATTCGAGATCATTCGAGTGGATTCATGTGCTGTCAGCAAGAAGTTTAGAAGCTGTCCTCGGGCTGTCCCCTGCGAGCCTCTGGCCATTTGTTTCATCCTGGGTTCATCTCATTCTCAGCCGGCGTCAGGTGGATCTGATAGCCATAAGCCTGGCTAAGGAAAATCAGGTCGACACTTAAAAAAGAGTCCGGGAAGATTAAGATAGGACTAGGTAAGTTATGTAAAATGATTGCAACATGCTGCAACAATTAGAGCCTACTGTACATTAGCTACATCAATTTGAGAAGAATCATGAGCAATGCACCGAAGCCATCAAGGCGAAGCCAGCAAGCTTCGGTGGAACTTCATGATCTCAACCTGTGGCTGCCGTAAAGACAAGGGATGACAAGGGATGTGCCAACATGTGCTAGAAATGAATTTCATGGAAATTCCAGCAACCTCAGGTGCGGTTGCAAATGCCAAGTGGTTCAGTTTCGAGAACAATTCATCTGGTCTGAGAATGTTTAATAGTTTGCACAACTGGAAAAGTATGGAGAACTGACTGATGCGAGATTTGCCGCCAACTCATTTTCCCCGACAGCAGCCGGATGGGACCGGTCTCTGGATTCTTTAGCTAGTGCATCCAGCAGCATCTCCAAAGCAAAGAAGAGCTGATATGATGTGCAGGGAAAGTTCCACAGGGTCGAAATCAAGAATGAAAGAATCAAGAAAGAATCAAGAGCCTGTCCATCATACCCCTTACACGTTCAAACACATCATGTGATAATGATAGATTCTTGGCAACTTAACGCTGCCTTGAGACCCTGCATCAAGAACACCTGCACATGGGAAATCAAAACAAACCCGAGGGCCTTAGGGTTTTGTAAGTACTTGTGCTCCAACGGCTTTTACCAAATGAAGCTCCAAAAAATCGGTTGACATTTTAAGAATGGAAGCACCTAAGCATTCTCAATGATGGTATCAAGTTATTGATGGCTCTTGGTGACTCTTGTGAGATCGTGTAGAACCAGTGGTTCGTAGATGGATGGGACGCTCAAAATTCATCAAAATTCTTCAGGTCAACTAACAATATCTACGAACCACGGTTGCTTTCTGGCACCGGCATGGATCTTAGGGCAGCAAAGCGTGCCTCCAGGCCAACACCGCTGATCATCAGGCGTACCCTTTGGTAATTGAAGCCCACAACGGAAAATCGATACTTCCAGTGCCCCCCATGTAGATGATGAAGCCCTTTCACATTGAATTTTCCGTTGAACAGCGAGGCCTGCCTTCATCATCATTGCGACAAACATGATCAACCAAGACGACAAAGGATACATCCGATCAAGATCATGAAAAGGGACCTTGGGGATTGTTGCCACCCGAAGGCCACAATAGGAATGACGACTGCGGCCATTGCCTAGAGGCGTCGAGAAACCAATTGCGAACAATAAACAATGAGGGGCGTGTTGCCAGCGCTGGAAAGTACGGAAAGTAGGCTTTCCTCATGTTCTTGTATCCTTTGTGAAATGGTCATCATCAAATAGGATGTTTAAAAGGAGGAGGCCTGACACAGAAAAAAAGCAATCTTCCTGTGGAGGTTGGATTTTTTCTAAGAATAGTACTGTATGTGTTATCTACGATGTGTATTGTGTTCTAAAGTGCCATATTCCTGTCTTTCCTTTATCATGGTAACATTCCTTCAGGCAGATGCTGTTTTCTTCAAAGATTGAATACTCAAGTTAAAGTTGCAACCGTATTTAAAAAAATAAACAGTTTAGTTTAAATAACAGAAACAATATTGTGTCAAAATATGCAGTGTGCCCTTTAAACATGTAACATTCCTCTCAAAGAAGCTCAGCTGGCCTTCATGTTTGAAAGTAGCACCATTTCTTTAGAAAAAATGTAACACTCCTTTCAAAGAAACCCAGCCGCCATCTGTTTGGAAGGAACAACATTGTTTGAAGGAAATCTTTTACTCACCAAAATTGAATCAGCTGCATCTTTGAACGTTACACCATGACTTGAAAATATGTAACAATCCTTTCAATCACACCATGTCTGTGTAAAATTGTGTAAATTTGTAACACTCCTGTCAAAGAACTCCAGCTGCGCTCTACTAGGACAGGAACACCATTTATTTGAAGGAACGGCTTCCTTCACCAAAAACATAATTTTACATCCCCAAAGGCTTCGCACCTGAAAAGGAAAATTGCACTTCCCCAAGGAATACTGCGCATGTTTAGCATACAAACTTTTGGTAAGTAATGACTTCACAAGAATGCCTTGGGGGCAAGATGAATCAGATTTGGTTTGGATTAATCTGGATTAGTCCTAAGGAATCAAAAACCCAAGGAAACAAAACAAAAAAAGACAATGTTTTCCAGACTAGTCTGGACATGCCTAGATCCAAGTAGTCCCCAAAACATTGTTTTGTTTGTTTTTTCGGTTTTGGGTGATTAACCACTCTAAGCCCTATTTCCACTAGAAAAGGCTTGTGTATGGACAGCAAAAGGCCAATATGGTTTTAGATCAAGTAATGTATTTGGGAAAACAAATTGCCTTTTGCGCGCCCACAACAAGCCTGTCTATATTTCTAATAGAAAAGGCCTGTGCATGGACAACAAAAAGCATAAGATCATGTAATATATCGACAAAAAAAATGAATATATACAGATATACAAACAATTGGTCATTTCAGCGCTGGCAACAAGCCTTTCTGAAATAATATTGTGCGAAACTTGGTTGCAAGACCTTGGGCTCGTTCCACCCGAAGGCTTTACAACCTTGACAACCATGGCTCTGTCAAATAGCCACTGCTTCGGCTTGTACCCGAGGTAACTATTTGATCAGCAAAGGCATCCCCATGCCTTGATCACTGTCCATCAGCAATGCAGGTGAGAATATCCTCCACCTCACGTTTCACACCGACTGCCACGTGCAAACTCTCTGGTTTGTTATGAACTGCCTTGAGAAACGCATTCAGCTTCCGCATGTGACTGTCATGCATCGCCCTGTTTGGTGGAGCTGCAATGCGCATTCCTTCAGGCACATGAATATTGTCATAGGTCCACGATTTGGGACTGAGATTTTGGTCAACTTCCAGTGGACGCGCTGGAGGAAAGACTGATCTTGTGGGAGCTACAAAATCAGAGATTGCGCTGTGGCTGCTGTGACACATGATGTCGTCAAAAGACTGGTCCACCTCGCCCAAAGCAACGCACGTGGGGGCATGACTAGGCAACCGCAAACCAAGAAACGACAGGAAACACAAAACAAATAAAAAACGTGGAAAGCCTACACTAGGGCATACTGGGGCTATACGCGCACCAAAGATCACCAAAACCCACAAATGCCGCCTACAATTTTCTGAATGCATAGGACAATCACCTTTGTTCTCGCGGATGGAACTCGGGGAGATGGAACTCGTGGAAGTGCAACTCGGTCAGTTTGTTGATCTGTGCTGGCACTGCAACCCATAGCAATCGGCCCGGCGATCTACTGAGTTTTCAGCCGTGGACTTTACAAACGGCTTCACGAACACTGCCCTCCAAGAGAGCCAAAAATCCTGCAGCGATTCATGACCCTTCGATAGGTTTCCTGGCTCTCTGCTTTATGCTCCATCATCCGCAATCATCCTGCATCCCAGCCCAAAATGATTCACTGTTTGCAAGTCATGGGGACATGGACAAAGATGACAAAGAAAGAAAGGGCCTATCAGTGACATCCCACGGCCCAAAGGCCCAAGGCTCGCCTTCAAGTTTCTTGAAGCGAGCGCATTCTGTTTGCCGCGGGGCACCCTTGGTTCAGCCACCCTTTAACCGCAAGCTGTTTCGAACTGTTTTTCTCTGAGATCTCTGAGAAAAAACAAGTGCATGTAGCATGTAGTCTCCAATCCACAGCTGATTGGTGCATCCAAATCCTGTCACGTATACGATACACGGTCTTTCCATTCTTTGTCCAAGAGTACACCTATACAGTATCATGTCGTTTATACCTTTAGAATCTTCGAAATACGTTCAAAAATAACCATTCCACAAGCCAGTGCCTATCGAAACATGCCCTCACTCGTCACATCGTGTCGTACGAGCTGTTGTCACTTCATGTGTCATCCGCTGCTGTAAAAACAGGCTATTTGGCAAATGACACTAGCAAAGTGGCCCAATGGTTTAGTTGTAAGACGATGGCAATCATTTGTATGTTTTTTCCCCACCTGCCAGGTGAGGGTCGCTAGATTTTGCCAGAGTTGTTTCCGCCTCCTTCTCCTCCTTCTCGTCATTCTCCTCCGCCAGCCTCGAACTCAGCGCTAGAGTGCATGCTCAAAATCTGAGTGGGCGCTGCCGGACCTCCGCCAGACGCCAAAGAGAATGTCAGATAGAACGCCACAGAAAAAATGTAGGAATAGATGCCAGATATAATAGAATGCCAGAAAGAATGTCAGAGAGAATCAGAATGTCGGTAAAGATGCCAGAAAGAATGCCTGAAAAGATGCCAGATAGAATGCCAGAATAGACGCCAGATAGAATGCCAGAAAGAATGTCAGAATAAATGCCAGAAAGTATGTCAGAATAGATGCCAGATACAGTAGATACAGTAGATTACAGTAGCATGTCAAAATGAATATGCCATATATACTTCCAGATGGTATGTGAGAAACATTCAGAAACTATGTCAGAATAGTGTTTCAGGGTGGGGATCACTCGATTTTTTCCCCTGAAAATGTGGCATGTACCCAAGAAATCGACGGTTTACCACCATTTTCCCTTTGAACCATGTTGAAACTACCATTTTGTGGGTATCCGGGGCGGGGTAAAGTATCCGGTCTGGCCCATTGAAAATGACAATGATAATGATTTTGGATGATTTTTGGTGGTATTTTTGGATATTTGGGGGTAAGTGTACGAGTACTAGGCCAGGCAGGCCTTTAGGACATCCACGCGCAAATCACGGTGAATATCAGACTTGATCCACTGGTTTTTGTGCCGAACGCCTTTTACACCTTTCTATGTAATTATGGCCTTTTGCAAAACCGTGGTTTACGCACATGCTTTGGTTTAAAGTTAAACCGCGGTTTGAACAACGCCATGATCTTTTACGCAAAGCACCGTCTTACACAAAAACTGTGTTTTACACAAACACAATGTTTTACACAAATCTATGTTCTTGCTAGGCCTGTGCAAGCGCTGCTTGCGGCTTCCAGGATAGCGATGACGGTGATGACGATGATGATGATGATGATGACGATGACGATGATGAGCAGGAGGACGACAGTGACGAGGGTGACGATGGTGATGAGCGTGATGATGGCGATGATGACGATTATGACTGTGATCACGATGATGACGACGATGTTGCTGGTGGAGATTGATTCATACTCCACCTTTACTTTTGTTGGAAAGATTTGCTCACGTATAATGTGACATGACTTCTCACAAAGGCGAGACGATCAAAAGGGCAACATGACTGCGATATGTGGCAACATGACTGCGACATGTGGCAAGTCTGGTTCAATTTCGATGCCGAAAACCATGTTTAATAATTATTTGTTAATTATATGCTGTTGAACAGTTGACCCAACCATGGAAAAACCAGAAATTATTCTTGAAAGAATTCAGAATTCATTGATGCGACATCTGGCGCCGACTCAACTGCCTGCCTGGAACAACTACTTCTTGCAACATGCTGAAAATCGCGTACATGCCAGTGTTTTTGCCAGGTGATGTCTAAAAATCGCTGTGAATAATTACCGCGGTTTTTGCTACCAGTGGCAAAAACATCGTAAACACTGTGCCCAGAACATCAGTATCTACAGTGCTATTTGTGCCCAAAACCTTCACAAATTGGAAAACAGAGCCAATATGACACCTGCTTTTTAATGGTAAAAAAAACGGTGGTACGGTATGTTTCATACTACATAACCACCATCATCATCCATCATCAACAATAGCAAAAACAAGGTCACGTCATAGTTACGGTCCCGCTGTTTTTGCGAGTTCTCAACATGGTCCATGCATAAAATCGACAACCCTTGCAGGGTTTCTGTTTTCTCTTTGACAAACCATCATCCATTTTCGATGGTATTTGCATGACTTTGAGGCTATGAATTCGCAGTTCTACCCATGTTTAGCATCCATGTGCAACACACGCGTTTGAAAAAAAAAAGAATTTGCTTGTCTCAGCACGTGGAGGCCAAGTCAGCCAGTTTCTTCAACGTGTTTGCGTTACCCCAACCCCCAGGGGCAGCGTAACATCATCAGCGTAGCATGAAGGTTAACATCCCACCCCACCCCACCCCAACCCGCCCCCACGAGCAGCGTAACATCATCGGCGTAACAAGAACGTTAACATCCCACCCCACCCCACCCCAACCCCCAGCGTAACATCATCAGCGTAACATGAACGTTGACATCCCACCCCACCCCACCCCAACCACCACGAGCAGCGTAACATCATCAGCGTAACATGAACGTTAACACCCACCCCACCCCAACCACCACGAGCAGCGTAACATCATCAGCGTAACATGAACGTTAACATCCCACCCCACCCCAACCCCCACGAGCCGCGTAACATCATCAGCGTAACATGAACGTTAACATCCCACCCCACCCCAACCCCCACGAGCAGCGTAACATCATCAGCGTAACATGAACGTTAACATCCCACCCCACCCCACCCCAACCCCCACGAGCAGCGTAACATCATCAGCGTAACATGAACGTTAACATCCCACCCCACCCCACCCCAACCCCCACGAGCCGCGTAACATCATCAGCGTAACATGAACGTTAACATCCCACCCCACCCCAACCCCCACGAGCAGCGTAACATCATCAGCGTAACATGAACGTTAACATCCCACCCCACCCCACCACAACCCATGTTTGCTAAAAACAAACATATTCCACGGGGCCGTACCTTGGGCGTGACCAAAAACAACAGCAGCAGCAACAACAACAATTAAAGGACCGGATAACCCCACAAGCCAACTTCTTTCAATAATCAGAAAAAGCGGTTCAAGCGGCACGGAGAAAGAAGAAAGGACAAAGGAGATGGTGGAGGGTCAATCGTTTTAAAAATTGTATGTGAAGAGTTGTGTGTGACAAAGTTGTGTGTGAAAGAGTTGTGTGAAAGGTTGCATGTGAAAGATTGTCTGTGACAAAGTTGTGTGTGAAAGAAGTTGTTTGTGACAAAGTTGTGTGTGAAAGAGTTGTGTATGACAAAGTTGTTTGTGACAAAGCTGCGTGTGACAAAGTTGTGTGACAAAGTTGTTTGTGACAAAGCTGTGTGTGAAAGATTGTGTGTGACAAAGTTGTGTGTGAAAGATTGCGTGTGACAAAGCTGTGGGTGAAAGATTGTCTGTGGCAAAGTTGTATAAAGTTGTGTGTGAAAGAGTTGTGTGTGACACAGTTGTGTGACAAAGTTGTCTGTGACAAGGTTGTGTGTAAAAGAGTTGTGTGTGACAAAGATGTGTGTGTGAGAGAGAGAGAGAAGTTGCATGTGAGATAGATGTGTGTGAAAGATTGTGTGCGACAAAGTTTTGGGTGACAAAGTTGTGTGTGAGAGAGATGTGTGTGAAAAAGCTGTGTGCGAAAGAGTTGTGTGTGACACAGTTGTGTGACAAAGTTGTCTGTGACAAGGTTGTGTGTAAAAGAGTTGTGTGTGTGACAAAGTTGTGTGTGACAAAGATGTGTGTGAGAGAGAGAGAGAGAAGTTGCATGTGAGATAGATGTGTGTGAAAGATTGTGTGCGACAAAGTTGTGGGTGACAAAGTTGTGTGAGAGAGATGTGTGTGAAAAAGATGTGTGCGAAAGAGTTGTGTGTGACAAAGATTGTGTGTGACAAAGTTGTGTGTGTGTGACAAAGTTGTGTGTGTGTGTGACACAGTTGTGTGTGACAAAGTTGTGTGTGTGAGAGAGATGTGTGTGAAAATGTTGTGTGCGAATGTGTGAAAGAGTCGTGTTTGCAAAGTTGCGTGCGATAAAGTTGCATGTGAGAGAGAGAGAGATGTGAAAAATTGTGCGTGACAAAGTTGTGTGTGTGTGTGTGTGACAAAGTCGTATTTGAGAGAGATGGACTCACTTGCAGCGTGGATGTCACCAAGTGCCACGCCTGCCATGCCAAACGAAGGTCGATGTCGCCAAGTGCCACACCTGCCACACAAAGTGGAGGTGGATGTCGCCAAGTGCCTGCCACGCAAAGTGCCGTGGCGTCACGGGCGACTAACGGCGCCCAAGCGCGCCACCAGAGTCAGAGCCAGCCCAGTGCCACAAGCGCCACACATGCCACGCAAAATGAAGGTGGATGTCGCCAAGTGCCACACCTGCCACGCAAAAAGAAAGTTCATGTAAGCAAGAGCCACGCCTGCCACGCAAATGGAACGTCAATGTCACCAAGTGCCACGCCTGCCACGCAAAGTGGCGCGGCGCCCAGGGCCACCAACGGAGACCAAGCGCGCCACCAGAGCCAGCCAAGCGCAACAAGCGCCACCCTTGCCACGCAAATGGAACGTCAATGTCACCAAGTGCCACGCCTGCCACTGAAAATGAAAGTTCATGTGAGCAAGAGCCACGCCTGCCACGCAAATGGAACGTCAATGTCACCAAGTGCCACGCCTGCCACGCAAAGTGGCGCGGCGCCCAGGGCCACCAACGGAGACCAAGCGCGCCACCAGAGCCAGCCAAGTGCAACAAGTGCCACACCTGCCACGCCAAACGCAGGTAGATGTCGCCAAGTGCCACACCTGCCACGCAAATGGAACGTCAATGTCACCAAGTGCCACGCCTACCACGCAAAGTGGCGCGGCACCCCGTGCGACTAACGGCGACCAAGCGCGCCATCAGAGCCTCACCCCTTGGGGACGACAAGGACGACAGGACGACTTGGACACCGCAGTGCACACTGCTTAACACATTGCATCACATTGCCAAAGACAAGCATGTCGGATCATTTCTGGATGCATTCTGAGAAGGATTGAGAATGTGTATTTAAAAGGATTGGAGATGGTGGGTATGCTCACGTGTTTTGAATATCACAGCATAGCATCGTTTCGGGCATTCGGCGACTCGAAGTGATCTGATGCCGTGCAAGACTCACCACGACATGCACAAGTGCCTGGTGCAGATACTGGCAATGTAGAGGAGGCGCCACAGGGCGCAGCTACCCCCTGCAACCTCATAGGCACTCTCTGGACCGTTTCAGCCCAAGCCCACCCAGGTCCCTACAAGTTGGCACTCCCAAGGATCCAGCATCAAGGCATCTCTGCCTCAGAGCTGGAATTCACGGCATGGAGCATCAGACTGAAAGGATCGAAATCCACACTGTTTCACACTACTCCTAACTTTGGGACACTGTTTCCTTACTGAGAAGTTGGAGTCCCAGCATCCCATGATGTCTCATGATGTCCCATGTACAGTACCACGCTTCTACATCCGAGCACTCTCGCCAGAAGCTTCAGTCATCTCAGTCTGATGTGTGCGCATGCCCTGGCGGCTGCCCCAATCCGGTTGTTTGTCGAAAACTGGGATACCCGAATAGACAAACAAGGCTCGTCATATCACGTCATTGATTGTTGTCCGAACATTCTGTCCATGATGTCCATTGATCATCATTAATTAATCAACCACAAGCTTGAGACAAAGCTCACCGGATCTCACAGAACAGAAGAACAACAAGAACCTTTTGCAAGAAAGCGACACAACAGCAACCTCTGCCCTCTGCCGCAAATGTTGATCTGTGGGGCAGGCTATGTCTATTCATGGTCATCATGCGCAGGTCCCTAAAGGCACCTGTCCGGCCTGTGAAGTTGAACGGTCTGCCAGTCCTTGGCTGAAAGGCTGGCAAACCCGTTTAACATCGTTAAGACTAAAACTATCTAAAACTTAACAGCGCGCGCAAAGCCTGTAGGTCTTTCATTGCAGAGCCATGCATCTCAAGGACATCCATAGTCTATTGGCCGGATTCCATATCTCTGTCATTCTCAAAAGTCATTGGCCGAACAAGGAGGAAGTCAACATGCCGAAGCTTCTAGAACCTCTACTTGCAGGCCGCAAAGAAGAGGATGAAGGCAACCTCAAGTCCAGGCATTTGAAGACTTGCAGGACACGGCAAAGTGAACCAGCTGAAGCACAGGTTCTGTCACATCCAAACTTGATCAAATCGGATTTCAGATTTCCTTAAGCCGTTTCCTGACAACACTATCGAAAACCCAACCACACTGAGTTTCGGGCTCAACCTGCGCACCTATCACCTGACAAAGATCGTGGCTGACCGTAGCAACTCTTGCTCCACAGTTCCGATTCCATGGACGCACGGTTGAGCGTGACATGACCAATATGAAACTCAGCCGAGTCGGAGCCAACCCCTCCTGGAAAGCAATGTCAAATCATCAAGAGAAGTGGCTGAAGAACAGCAGCACAACGATTCCTGGACCACGGAGCAATGCAGTGCAGTGCTGCAGCAGCCTTGACAGACTCTGATTTTCGAGGGCTCGTATACATAGGCATGTCTTCAAATAGGATCAAACAAGAACAGATATCAAAAAACGAACCCAAACATATCAAGAATAAGGTTAGCAAGAAAGAAAATCCTTGGTCTGGGAGCACCCCTACTTTGAGACATACTCACATCATCCCAGATGTGTCGGGTGTTGCGCGTGTCCATCTGCCATGCTCACAATTCTGTGCATAGACCACACGCTTTTTGCACGCAGCAAAGGGGGTCCAGCATCCATATGTTCCTAAAGTTATTTGAAACTATATGATATTAGCCTAGCTACAACCTTTGCCTCAAGTACTATTAAGTACTATTAAATACTGAGCCATTGTTGGCCGGGGCCGCTTAGAATTTCAGCATCTCTGCCGCCATCTCTGCCGCAACTTCTCCTGCACCAGAGCAGACATCGTAGATGCACTCCTCGAAGTAGCTGGAATGTGCGGCAGTTCCCAAGTGTTTCTGGCAGAGAGCCTTGGCATCAGCTTGTCCTTGGGCGTCACACAACTCGCTCAAACCCACATCATGGCCATTCTCATCAAACATTTGAAGGTATTCCTGGGCGCGAGGGCTGCCACCAAGCTCTGCCCAAGCTTTCTTGACCTCAAATTCTTGGTCTTCTCTCGTAGCCAGCTGCAACATTGAACTATTCGAGCTCGGCTTGTCCTTTTGGCCTTTTTGGCCCTTGAGCTCGCCACTTACAAAGGGTCTCCACTTCTGATTCTCCATGTAGAGCTTCATATTGATGAGATGACCTTGTCGACACAAGACTTTCAATGTGGCAACCGGAACTTTCTCATCAGCAATGAACAGCTCAATCCTATTCCTGTTCTTGTTACCAACCAGCTGCATGCGAGAAGACGGCCCGGAAAGAAGCACCTCAGGAACTTCTGATGACCACTTCTTGGACTTGCTCTTCGTTTGCCATTCGCAGCGTTCCGAAGTGATCTCCATGCTGGATGGCTCTGAACCCGAAGTATCGACCAACAAAAGACCTTTGGTGAAGGACTGGCGTCCGGCATAGTGGGCAAAGATTTGCCACTCCACATGGGGCTGCGGCAAGTCAAAGTGCCACGCCAAGAAAGAACCTTCCCTCAGCAACGTGTAGTGGCCGCCATCCAAGGTATGGATATGCGGATCACCCACTATGTCTGCCATGGCTGCGAATCTTGTTGGATTGATCACACCAAAACTTGTCTGCCGTGGGTCCGGGTCAAATTCGGCAACAGTGACCTGGGTGCCGTGAGCATCAAAGACGAACGACGGCGAGGCACTGCCCTGATCATCAACTTGGTAGAGGGCTCCATCACTTGCATCGCGGAAAACAAGTTTTGGTTCACCACCAATGTATCCAAGGTCGGTACCAGGGGGATTATTCAATGTAGTTCTGATGAGTGGAAGATTGTTTGCATCAGCTACACTATCTGGCACACCAATTGAGTCGTAGATTGTCTGTACTGCCGCGAGAAGGGCGGCAGTGTCATCATTGATATTGACATTGCCCGTTGGACATGATTGCGACAAGAAAATGGTGAAAGATGGATTCTCAAGCTCAGGTACGGTAACAGCCAGCAAGCCATTGGCATCAAAAGTACCATAAACAGAGCTGATTCTATCCACCATTCCAAATGATGTTGCTGCTGCTGCTGTTCCTCTAACTTCCACTTCTTCAGTGGGCAGCAAACCATCGGCCTCGACGCTCCAAATGCATCCCTCGAAGACGGTATTTGGGGGTCCACTGAGCTCGACTTTCTGGGAATCTTGAAGAAGTCCTGTTGGATTGGGCTGAAATTCACTGATGAGGTATGAGCCCTTGGTGCCCTTGGTGCCCTTGGTGGCCTTGGTGGCCTTGGTGGCCTTGGTGGCCTTGGTGGCCTTGGTGGCCTTGGTGGCCTTGGTGGCCTTGGTGGCCTTGGTGGCGAGGTGCAAATGAGAACTGATTTCGCATTCATTGGATTCATTGGGTTCATCGCATTTGTGTCCACTCATGACCCCCAGGGCCAAAAGCAACACATGGACGCACAGCTTCATGTTGATGGCCATGTATGCAAGCAGCGATGTACCGTAGATACTCGTCAGGTCAAGGTTCAAATAACAAAACTAGATAAAAACTAGGTTGCTTGAGCCAGAGAAGTAAACCAGATTTCAAGATTGACATCATCATCGCAAACATGCAGAAAACCCATGCTGATTTGATGGTTTCATCACCCAAAAAAAACTGGTCAACTGGGATGAAAATCATCCCGGATCGGAAAATGCTGTCACTGTCCACGATGCCACACAGTACGACTAGGCCAGGCCTTAGGACATATCGCAGATCACAGAGTCGCTGTCACCTCCAAACAAAATGTCAGATGGATACTGACAACTACTCTTGCTCCACTTAGAATCACTTAGATGTGCAACAGTCTTTTGACATTCACTGAAAACTCTCTTGTAAAGAACTTTGACACTAAAGTGAAGTGGAAATCTGGCAGAGTCTTCAACATCTTCAACACTGAAATCGGTACTTTCTTCGGGTACGCCATCGCATATCATGGCACGCACGGATTTGAGGAAAACCACCATTACAATCACAGTTCTGGCTGCCAAAACATCAGCAACATTAACATGCATTTTCTCATGCTTCAAGTAAGCTATAATGGCGTAAAACGTTGGAACATATTCCCAAATGTGAATCTGGTGATGGGCAGCTAGCAAAGTTCAAGTGAATGTCAAATGGGCTGGTACTGTGACAGCAAGCCCTCCCGATTTATCTCAAGGATACTATTGAAACGAACGAGAACCTGGTTTCAAAGGGATGGGAAAACAAGCGGAAAGCGGGGGCACGCAAGGCAGGGGCGGCGCCTGGGACCACCGCAGGTGTGGAACCTGTTCCGTTTCCGGGCCTTCAAACGCCTAAAACCGTCCGCGGCAGCTTCGACAAGGCACTGTGGCCACAGGCATTTAGTCTTAGGGCTTTGTAGCCTGCTTTTTGCATCCATGGCCCTCTCTTGTTACGGCGTTCAAGCCTGCCGTTTGCCTGCCCTCAAACCCGCAAAATGTTCCGCGGCAGCTTCGACAAGGCACTGTGGCCACAGGCATTTGGTCTTAGAGCTTTGAAGCCTGCTGTTTGCCTCCATGGCAATGGCCCTCTCTTGTTAGGGCGTTCAAGCCTGGCGTTTGCCCGCCCTCAAACCCGTAAAATGTTCCGCGGCAGCTTCGACCAGGCACTCTGGCCACAGGCATTTGGTCTTAGAGCTTTGAAGCCTGCTTTTGGCCATGGCCCTCTCTTGTTACGGCGTTCAAGCCTGCCGTTTGCCCGCCCTCAAACCCGTAAAATGTTCCGCGGCAGCTTCGACAAGGCACTGTGGCCACAGGCATTTGGTCTTAGAGCTTTGAAGCCTGCCGTTTGCGTCCATGGCCCTCTATTGTTAGGGCGTTCAAGCCTGCTGTTTGCCCGCCCTCAAACTCGTAAAATGTTCCGCGGCAGCTTCGACCAGGCACTGTGGCCACAGGCACTGCGGCCACAGGCATTTGGTGTTAGAGCCTTGCAGCCTGCCGTTTGCGTCCATGGCCTCTGCCGTTTGCCCGCCTTCCAACCCCTAAAATGTCCCGCGGCAGCTTCGACCAGGCACTCTGGCCACAAGCATTTGGTCTTAGAGCCTTGAAGCCTGCCGTTTGCCTCCATGGCCCTCTGTTGTTATAAGGCGTTCAAGCCTGCCGTTTGCCCGCCCTCAAACCCGTAAAATATCCCGCGGCAGCTTTGACCCGGCAGCCTGGCCACAGGCACTCTGGCGACAGGCATTTGTTGTTAGAGCCTTTCAGCCTGTCGTTTGCGTCCAGAGCCCGTCGTTGTTCGGACGTTCAAGCCTGCTGTTTGCCAGGCTTCAAACCCTTAAAATCCCCCGCGGCAGCTTCGACCAGGCACTCTGGCCACAGCCGTCTCTTGTTGTGTTTGCCGCCACTCTGGCCACAGCCGTCTCTTGTTGTGCGTCCACGCTTGCCGTTCCCCTACAGCAAGCGCAGCGCCTTTTTGTCGGGAACGTGCCAATGTTTCTTCTGGCATCGTTTTCCCGACGGCGTGTCATGCGTGACCGCAATGCGCCCACATGACTGCGATGACCAAACAACAGTTGAGCACACCGGGCAACTGTGCGCATGACACCGTGTTTTCTTGCTGACTGCACCGTCCGTGACATAAAACAGGTTGCCGCACGCGGGCTGATGGTTGATTCGCCCTGTCCTCACATCGCTTCTCACATTTCCGTTGCAAAATGGGCACCGGTAAACCAAACCTTTCTCTTTCACAACACCATCCTTCACAGAAAAACTGTTCCCACAGACAGACCCTTCGATGGTCTATGTGCCCTGTCGCCACGTTACTGGCCACATGCCCATTGCACGCGGGACACACATAATCATACGCTTTTGCACAGAGGCGTCCTTCCCTCACTCTGAAACGGTGACCGCATGTGCCGCGGAGATCGACTTGGCCTGTGCGTGTAGTGCTGGTCACAGACTGATCGCAATGAGGACACACGTATTGGAAACTCTTGCCTTTCTCCGTCCGGTTGCTGTCTTCCTGTTGTGGTCGTTTCTGTTCCGTTCTCTTCTCTGCAGTGTTTTGCCTTCGGCGCTTCTTCCTCCGTTTGAGGATGTTTGAGGGCTCTCCTGTTCTCCGTTTTCGTTCCACGATGGCAGCCCAGACATCAGCAATGGCACGCGCATTCACGCGCTTTTTTTTTCTTCCGCTGCCCTCACCGCTACTTTGGCCTGCGTTGCAGCTACCCGTTGTACCGCTTTGCTGATGCTTCCCCGGGGAAGGGGGCGTTTCCAGAAGTTGCTACAGACTTGGTCACCATTGCAAGAACGATGTTGCGCCAGCCATGATTCAAAAGCGCACGCTGCTTGCTTTACTTTGCATACAGTGCATCTCCACCAGCCCCATGCTTTACCCAAACACGCCAAACACACTCTACCGCCATTGCGTGCCCGTTGCCATGCCGCGGCAGAAAATTTTGGTTCGTCCTTGCGCGTCTTGCAGACACTACACCATTGTGATTGCTCGCACGTCGCGCAAATACGATAAAATGTGGGTTGTGGGCTTGCGTGTTTTGCCATGACTGCATCTTCCTGTTTCCAGGCCGTGCAGGCCATGCATTGCCATGGCTGCTGGGCCTCTACGTGCCGACGAATGCATTCTTTTGCAGACTCTCCCCGCATCTGCACGTTTCCATCGACCCGCCGTGAAGAAGGCGGCTTTGATTCATTACATTCGTCTCGGTATTTCGCTCGCAGCGCGCTCCAATCCAATTTTCACCACCCCAGAACCGCAACAGCAATTCCCGCCCTACTTTCGCGCCCTTTTCAAACGGTGCTGCAGGGAAGGGTCTGTACACAAACAAACCATGCCTGTCTTGGACACGCGTTATAACGCAATGTACGCCGTCAATGGGCCGCCCGTGTCGCCAATGTGCATGTCCATGACAACGCCTTCTTTGCAAGTTTGCCCTTGGGCTGCGTGGGCGGTCGTGGCAAACCTGGAGCCTCTGCTTCCGCGTGACACGGAGTACTGGCCGCCTCCGCCCTTTGTCCAAATACCACGGTTTCTTTTGCGGCGCTACTGGAAAAACGTTGTCTTCATCAATCCCTTGGGCACGCCAGGTGGTCTTGGTCTTGAACCGGACCAAGATGCACGCCGGCAACTCGTTCCAAATCTTCGTCGCCTCTTGACTCGCCCCTCCAACGGCATCCGCTGGCCAGACCCAGCCTACGATCTCCCCAGCGCACCCACATAAAATTCCACGGCTGCGATCCAAGTGATCCGCGGCAGCAGAAAGACCACTATCAAACCCAACTCCTCTTGAATGGCTCTCGCCAAGTCTGACACTTGTGGCAGGCCATAGTCTAGGTCGCCATTCAAATACAGCACCGGCGCCAAGCAAGCGAGCACCTTGGCCCCTTGCAGGGCTAGGTCCCTGTTCTAAAACGTTTGTCCTGCTATGGGTGCTAAGGAGTTCTGTCATGAGTCAAACCAAGGCCTTTGTGCTGCAGTCCCTGTTCTGCCATGCGTCCATTCCTTTCGCATGAGCCCAGGGCCCGGCGGAAGATCCAGTCTCACGCCCCGCGCCGCACCTCCCCCCCAGAAAGGAGGTCGGCGGCACCATGGCGTTAGCCCATTCTATATAAGCAAAACGTGGCAAAAGAAAGCGCAACCAGAAGCTTACTTCCAGAACGATGAATGCAGGTGGGCCAAGAAAATGAAAAAAGGGCACCCGGGCCTCACGTGATGACCAAATTTTACCACTATTCTTTAATCATGGGTCAATCATGGTCAATCCACAAAATGACGTTGTGGGGCCATTGGTACCATTTGGTACCCCCATTATCCAGTTTCCAATGCACGCCTTTCAGAAGCTGCAGCTGTCGCGGTGTCTCGCCATCGGATCAAAGGAAGAACCTGACGCTGAAACAGACGCCCACGCACGCGATAGGGAATTCGCCTGAGGATGTGAGGAGGTGTGTAGGATGTAGGATTGCACATCCGACACGTCCCAAGCAACAACTTATAGGATAACATAGGATAACCTTATTCAGTCGAGCCGTCTAGTAAAGAAGTGTTTTGCATGTTGTCCTTTTTCCTTTGTTCAAATTGACATCCTCAATGGAAAGCCGGTCCTTCTGTCGCTGCTCCGCAGCTGCAGCTGCCACCTAAAGGGATTATTCAGTTCAAGCGATTCGAGAATGACAAGCCATGCCGCAAAATATCTCACTGTTGCTTAACAATTGTAATAGCACTTTTGGGTCAACTTGTTGGGACAAGTGCCAGCAGTCCGTCCACCATATGCCAAAGATTGCCAAAACACGCCAGAAACCAAAGTCAAGACTTAGCAAAGTCAGCAAAGTGTTGATTTCTGTGGTTTTGAATGATCTGAAACTTCTGTTTGGACAAATAAAACAAAGAAACTTACTATCAACCTTGTGAAGGCGGTTCCCTCCTCATCATGCTTCGCTTGAGCAGCGCGTAGTCTTTCCAATGCCTCTCAAAGACAGCGAAGTCATGATGATGCCATTTTCTCAAACGCAAGTTGTTCTGATGATGCTTCCAAATGCATCAAGTATCATCGAGTTCCACAGCATAAATCACGTGAGCAAGTCTATCCATTGACATCATTAACGTCAATCCCCAAGTGGTGGTATGATATCAAGTAAATCAAAATCAAGCCACCATACATCATAGATATTCTCTGAATTGGTGCAGCCAGTGGGGCAGCGTTGATTTTGCTGTGGCCTTCCTGTCGACAATGACTACAGTCACTAGCATGGCCTGAAACCTGGTCTCAGTGAAATCTGGTCTTTGTTGCAACGCCGACAACTGCAGCACTAAAATCATCCAAACATGTCCAGCGCCCTGAACCCTCCACAGCCCTCCCCACCTTTCTCTGGCTCTCAGTGCCACGGTCTGTTGCACTTCTGGGAGGCCTCAGGCACCGGATCCAACTTTTAAATATATTCAAACGCTCGAAAGATGTCAAAAATATTCAGAATCATTCAAGCGCCAGGGCAAAATAAGGGCGAAATAATGCGACATCTTCCAAACATCAAAAGACCATCAGCTTCATCAACGATCTGAGATCTTTCCCAGCCGACGCTGCAGCTGGCTTTCTAGGCTGCCACGCCGGAGGTCCTCCGTCAGTGGCTGTCGCAAGTAGCCTGCGCCGGGAATGCACCGCTGTGCCCTCACCCCTTGGGGACGACAAGGACGACAGGACGACTTGGACACCTCAGTGCACACCGCTTAACACATTGCATCACATTGCCAAAGACAAGCATGTCAGATCATTTCTGAATGCATTCTGAGAAGGATTGAGAATGTGTATTTAAAAGGATTGGAGATGGTGGGTATGCTCACGTGTTTTGAATATCACAGCATAGCATCGTTTCGGGCATTCGGCGACTCGAAGTGATCTGATGCCGTGCAAGACTCACCACGACATGCACAAGTGCCTGGTGCAGATACTGGCAATGTAGAGGAGGCGCCACAGGGCGCAGCTACCCCCTGCAACCTCATAGGCACTCTCTGGACCGTTTCAGCCCAAGCCCACCCAGGTCCCTACAAGTTGGCACTCCCAAGGATCCAGCATCAAGGCATCTCTGCCTCAGAGCTGGAATTCACGGCATGGAGCATCAGACTGAAAGGATCGAAATCCACACTGTTTCACACTACTCCTAACTTTGGGACACTGTTTCCTTACTGAGAAGTTGGAGTCCCAGCATCACATGATGTCTCATGATGTCCCATGTACAGTACCACGCTTCTACATCCGAGCACTCTCGCCAGAAGCTTCAGTCATCTCAGTCTGATGTGTGCGCATGCCCTGGCGGCTGCCCCAATCCGGTTGTTTGTCGAAAACTGGGATACCCGAATAGACAAACAAGGCTCGTCATATCACGTCATTGATTGTTGTCCGAACATTCTGTCCATGATGTCCATTGATCATCATTAATTAATCAACCACAAGCTTGAGACAAAGCTCACCGGATCTCACAGAACAGAAGAACAACAAGAACCTTTTGCAAGAAAGCGACACAACAGCAACCTCTGCCCTCTGCCGCAAATGTTGATCTGTGGGGCAGGCTATGTCTATTCATGGTCATCATGCGCAGGTCCCTAAAGGCACCTGTCCGGCCTGTGAAGTTGAACGGTCTGCCAGTCCTTGGCTGAAAGGCTGGCAAACCCGTTTAACATCGTTAAGACTAAAACTATCTAAAACTTAACAGCGCGCGCAAAGCCTGTAGGTCTTTCATCTCAAGGACATCCATAGTCTATTGGCCGGATTCATCCGGATTCCATATCTCTGTCATTCTCAAAAGTCATTGGCCGAACAAGGAGGAAGTCAACATGCCGAAGCTTCTAGAACCTCTACTTGCAGGCCGCAAAGAAGAGGATGAAGGCAACCTCAAGTCCAGGCATTTGAAGACTTGCAGGACACGGCAAAGTGAACCAGCTGAAGCACAGGTTTTGTCACATCCAAACTTGATCAAATCGGATTTCAGATGATTTCAGCTTTCCTTAAGCCGTTTCCTGACGACACTATCGAAAACCCAACCACACTGAGTTTCGGGCTCAACCTGCGCACCTATCACCTGACAAAGACCGTGGCTGACCGTAGCAACTCTTGCTCCACAGTTCCGATTCCATGGACGCACGGTTGAGCGTGACATGACAAATGTGAGCTTAAAATGGGTTGAGAGTGAACCCACAAATGTTTGCCGTCTTTGAACCTGTTTCAACATAACATGCTTCAACCGCTATGTAGGACCTACATGGATCTACATCGTCCAATATTCTTGCTGACTACGAACTCCCCATCTCTCCATTTTGATGTTTGTTCTGGTGAAAGTTGGTGAAACCATGCATCCGGAGACAATCATTTGATATTGGCTTGAGTCAAATCACCCTTAATCATGATATATCATGGTATATCATGGTATATCATGGTAAAATGTGATAAAATCGCCCTTAAATAACACGTTAAACCTATATAAACCTATACAGAAATGTCTATCGATGTTCATCCATCCTCATGCGTTTCACCGAGTGTCACTGGTCATAGGATCTGCCGGAACCGCAGGTGATCGCCCGGCCTTGCATGCCAGTTTGCTCAGAACAAGCACCCCACCAACCTATGCATTCATACATTGAATTTGTGTTTTGATATGTTTTGATGTAGTTAGATGTAGTTAGTGGGGCTCCAAAAGTGCATCTGCAAGACGTGGCATATTATGGCTGCCATAGTGCTGTGGATCTCTTCGAAAGGCCACCTCCAACAACTCCCCCTGCAAGCGTCGATTCTCCGCAACAAGGGCCCTCACAGCTGCCTAGGCAGTGTCAGTGTCGGGTAAACACAGGAAACGAAATTGAAATTCCCAGGAATACAATGGAATACAGAATACACATCTAATTCATGTCACACAAAGATCCTGCGCTTTACCACACATGTTGAAACTGTAATCTTGCATTTGGATGTTATCTACAGCAGTTTGGAGCTAGGACATTTCACTCCCAAGGTATGTACAACGTTTGGAGCTGGACCCCACCCATTTGCATGTTTTCTCTATGCACTTCGGGTTTTCGACCTTTCATGACCTTTCATTTGAATAGTTTTGCATGAACATTGTGTAAGTGTAACCATGGTATTTTATGGCATTTTTATTTATGGATATTTATGGCATTTTGGCATCTGGGTAAAGCATGGTATCCCGGATATGGGTCGAGTCATCTGAGTCATCCACAATAAGCCAATCAGGTTTGCTAACCTCCAATTCGTTCACCAGTCAGCAGGAGTATCCCAACTCTTTTTCTAACGACTCATATAGATCCATATTATATAAGGCATTATCATAAAGTAATATTATATAATCATATAATATAAGTTGGTTATATTATATGAATCATTCGTTATAGGTATATAATTTATACATAATTGATTCCCATATATTTCCATTACATCTCCATTCGGAGCCCATTAACCATAGAACTGGCCACCATGGTGATCCCCTGGCCTCCAACGACACTTTCCGCTGCGGGATGATTAACGAATTTCGCTCAGATTTCTGGGAAATTTCATCGCGAAGTTCTGCACGGAGATCATTTCCCAGCTCCACCTGTGCTGAAATGGTTCCCATTTGGTGATGGTAAATTGCTTCCCATTTACTGTTCCTATCTTTAGACCAGGGAAATGGTGCATGAAATAGGTATACCGCTATACCAATCAAATGGCCAATTCATAGGACAAAATGATGATAAACCCTGATATATACAATTTTGTTGGTACTACAGTTACATACATTTACTGCCAAACCGTAATACATGTTCCGGTCACCTGCGCAGCAACAGCTCAAGCCGGTGGTTATTCCTGCAGCCATGCCACCAGTCGCTCTCGTTCAAAGCGTAAGGTATGCACCTGAGCAACTGATTCTTAGCATCGGATTGTCCCTGACAAGGCGATGCAATAGTTGTGTACGCGCGCATTGTACTCAAGTACCTATGCATCTGTATGTTTTTTTGAATGATTACGATTGTACATAACTATTATACTTGATAGACGTTAACAATGAATCATAGCATTGTGGGTAATTAGTCAAACAGTAATAATAATGATAATAATGCTAACAATGATAATAATGATACCAGTAATAATGATAATAACGAGAAGAATAATGAGAATATATAATATATTATTATAATGATCATGATTATAATTATTGTCTGTTTGACCACAAGCTGCCACAGTGGCCTCCGCTTTCATCTCTTGCAGCTTCTCATCCTGGTCAGGCATCGAAGGGGAGATGCCCGAGGAACTAGTAGCAATTGTATCTCTGAGATTCCACAGAACCAAAAACATATGAAATAAAAGGACCGGATAACCCCACAAATCAACTTCTTCCAATGATCACCAAGCAGATGTGAAAATGAGATGGGAAAGGCAGGAAGGAGAGGAGATGGTGCAAGACAGGTTGGGTGAAAGAGGTGTGTGCGACAGTGTTGTGTGTGTAAGTTTGTGTGTGTAAAAGTGTTGTGTGTGAAAGAGTTGTATGTGACAAAGTTGAGTAAGTTGTGTGTGAGTAAGTGGTGTGTGGACAAGTTGTGTGTGAGCAAGTTGTGTGTGGACAAGTTGTGTGTGAGCAAGTTGTGTGTGAGCAAGTTGTGTGGTGACAAGTGGTGTGTGGAGAAGTTGTGTGTGAGTAAGTTGTGTGGTGACAAGTTGTGTGTGGAGAAGTTGTGTGGGAGTAAGTTGTGTGGGCTGACAAGTTGTGTGTGAGTAAGTTGTGTGCGAGGAAGTCGTGTGGTGACAAGTTGTGTGTGGAGAAGTTGTGTGGGAGTAAATTGTGTGTGGAGAAGTTGTGTGGTGACAAGTTGTGTGTGGACAAGTTGTGTGTGGAGAAGTTGTGTGTGGACAAGTTGTGTGTGGACAAGTTGTGTGTGAGCAAGTTGTGTGTGAGCAAGTTGTGTGTGGACAAGTTGTGTGTGGACAAGTTGTGTGTGAGCAAGTTCTGTGGTGACAAGTTGTGTGTGGACAAGCGCGCCACCCAGCGTCATCAGTGCCACGCCTGCCACGCAAAACGATGGTAGATGTGAGTTTGTGCCACGCCTGCCACGCAAAACGAACGTGGATGTGAGATTGTGCCACGCCTGCCACGCAAAGTGCGCGGCGTCACGGGCGACCAAACCAGACCAAGCGCGCCACCCAGTGCCATCAGTGCCACGCCTGCCACGCAAAACGATGGTAGATGTGAGTTTGTGCCACGCCTGCCACGCAAAACGAACGTGGATGTGAGATTGTGCCACGCCTGCCACGCAAAGTGCCGCGGCGTCACGGGCGACCAAACCAGACCAAGAGCGCCACCCAGTGCCATCAGTGCCACGCCTGCCACGCAAAACGATGGTAGATGTGAGTTTGTGCCACGCCTGCCACGCAAAACGAACGTGGATGTGAAATTGTGCCACGCCTGCCACGCAAAGTGCCGCGGCGTCACGGGCGACCAAACCAGACCAAGCGCGCCACCCAGTGCCATCAGTGCCACACCTGCCACGCCTGCCACGCAAAATGATGGTAGATGTGAGTTTGTGCCACGCCTGCCACGCAAAATGAACGTGGATGTGAGATTGTGCCACGCCTGCCACGCAAAGTGCCGCGGCGTCACGGGCGACCAAACCAGACCAAGCGCGCCACCCAGTGCCATCAGTGCCACGCCGGCCACGCAAAACGATGGTAGATGTGAGTTTGGACCAAACCAGACCAAGCGCGCCACCCAGTGCCATCAGTGCCACGCCTGCCAAGCAAAACGATGGTAGATGTGAGTTTGTGCCACGCTTGCCACGCAAAACGAACGTGGATGTGAGATTGTGCCACGCCTGCCACGCAAAGTGCCGCGGCGTCACGGGCGACCAAACCAGACCAAGCGCGCCACCCAGTGCCATCAGTGCCACGCCTGCCACGCCTGCCACGCAAAACGATGGTAGATGTGAGTTTGTGCCACGCCTGCCACGCAAAACGAACGTGGATGTGAGATTGTGCCACGCCTGCCACGCAAAGTGCCGCGGCGTCACGGGCGACCAAACCAGACCAAGCGCGCCACCCAGTGCCATCTGTGCCACGCCTGCCACGCAAAACGAAGGTGGATGTGACAGTGTGCCACGTGGATTGTATGTGAGAGTGTGCCACAGTGTGTGTGGGTGTGAGTGAAGTTAGTGGAGTGTGAGTGAAGTTATTGTATGTGAGAGTGTGTGTGTGTGTGAGTGTGTGTGAAGTTATGGTATGTTAAGTTTGTGTGTGTGTGTGAAGTTATTGTATGTGAGAGATGGTATGTGACAAAGTTGTGTGTGTGTGAGTGTGTGTGAAGTTATTGTATGTGAAGTTTGTGTGTGTGAAGTTATTGTATGTGAGAGATGGTATGTGACAAAGTTGTGTGTGTGTGAAGTTATTGTATGTTAAGTTTGTGTGTGTGTGAAAGTATTGTATGTTAAATTTGTGTGTGTGTGAAGTTATGGTATGTGACTGTGTGAAGTTATTTGTATGTTCAGTTTGTGCGTGTGAAAGTATTGTATGTTAAATTTGGGTGTGTGAAGTTATGGTATGTGACTGTGTGAAGTTATTTGTATGTTAAGTTTGTGCGTGTGAAAAATTGTATGTTAAATTTGGGTGTGTGAAGTTATGGTATGTGACAGTGTGAAAGGGAGGCAGCGGGAGTAGGAGGAGAAGGAGCCCGGAATACAGAATCAAAAACAAGAACCCCACACAAGTTGTGGGGAAAAACCATGAAAAAGCCATGAAAAATCCGTGAAAAATCAATGAATTGAAAAGTCCATGAAAATTCAAAGAACCCAGAGCCTGATTGCTTCTGTCACCCTTCGACTCCTGGAGATATTCGAGGAAACTGAGAAAACGGGTGGCAAATCTGTCCCATTTCAACTTCATTTATTGATTTTATTGATTTTATTGATCAACAGAATTTCCAGGCGAAAACGCTGCCACCCACCCGACCGATGTCTGCTAGTTTAGGCTACCTATGGCTCAAGTCGAGTACCACTTAGGATGCCCCTGACAGATACCCAGCCTGCATGACAGATCATATAGTACCCACCAGTAATGCATGCAATACATATCATGTATAGGCGTGTGGCCACCGAAATGGATGTGAAGATGACGTTGCCTGAGGAAAGCCAGTGGTCTTGACTCACGACTCAATTAAAGCTTCACCTCAAAATGGCCTGGAAGACCCACCAACAATCTGCATCTGCAGTCACACCACTGGTTCCTGCTATGAATTTGGATGGCGATTGAATTCCAATAACTATCACCTGGATGGGAAACTCTTAGTACAGTAGCTCCTGTGTCCCCACTTAACAAGGAATATTCAGAAGGCAAGGGACTTGTCTCAAAAGCATTCTACATCCTCCTGCTATCTCCCCGCGATGCCCAGCCATCTCTATCTCCGGCGCCACTTTTTCGATCGAAAAATTGCTTTCATTCACCAACTGCAATCTTCTTCATGGCAGTCATGTGACCTCTCAGTTCCCTTCCAACCACCTGGCACAAAGTACACTGCGGGTACAGCCATGGTTCAACCAGTCATCCCTCAGCGCACACGCCCCGCCTCCACAGGATGCGAGGCAATGGCCTCGTTCACTGCTAAGAGGGTCTGGTTGTCAACGCCATTGTCACCTGACAAACTGGGCAACGAGGACATACCAGCATACCGGGACCATGGCTAAGTTGTCGCTACTTGGGGAGACATTCCCCCAATTCATCAGCCAGGGATTGCTAATACGAGGCTAGCATAACAGAACTTTGGGATCTTTAGGCCGAAAAGTGGGCTCCCTCCATCTGGGATCTTGAATCTAAAAAGGCCATGAGTGACTGGCGGGAACCACAAATTGATCAAATTGGTTTCACCTGGCACAAGTCTAGGCTTCATTCTTTTCCAATTTTTCCCGAATAAGCTGCCATTGCTGCATCTAAATGCATCGTGCAGTGCAGAACACCTGGGTGAAAGGTGCTTCGAAAGTCACCAGCTTTTTCTGCTGTATGTGTTCTCCGTTTGTTATACCAGTATGGATTCCGGTTCACAAGGCAGCATGTAGGTACAGTCTAGGCTTTCCTTGACGCCAAAGGACGGGGTTCACCCAGTGAGTCTTTGGATCCTTAGGATCAATGTCACCGCTATTGCTACAACGCATGCAGCATCAATGCACTACCAATTGTTACCCAGGTTCCTATGGAATCCTATGGATACGCAGGTTCGATAACAGTGCGAAATTGTATGCACTGTCCAATCGGTAAATCTTTCAGTTGACAGACGAGAGAACAGCTTTGAATTTGACAAACAAAACATGATGTACTGATATGATCTGATATGTACTGGCACTCTCATGAATTAAGCCAGCTAGTCTAGGGGTTTGCTCAAAAAAAGAAACCAGAAACCATGTTGTTGTTTGGCGGTCAAAACCGGGAAAGGTCCTTCAGATCACAGCGGCTTCGCTCACGGCATCCGATTGTTGAATCGTTGTGGCTATGTGAATTTGCAGTTCCCGCATCATCGCTCAAGGGTTCCATGTCTTTGCACGGTGTTTCGGAGGCCTCTCGCATGGCAGAACTCTCCGTGTATCTCATAGTAATGCTTTGCCAATCTTTGCCATATTCTCCAAGCGGTACGTGTGGGGCATCCGATCAAAACACTGAGGCAACTTCGTGGCTGTCTCGCGCATGCTCTGCATCAACTCCGTTTGCACTTCAGGGAAGTAGCTGGACTGGAGGTAGGCGCATGAGCCGCTAGCATACCTAACAAACCAAAATGGTACAGATTGGTAAAGTATGGCAAAGTGCTGGGGTACGAACTCTTCCACTTCTTCCAGAAAAAGCTGCATGACTTCGTGACCCAATACAACTAACTGTCCGTACTGGTCCAAATTGATGCAACATGAAAAAAGAAATTGTAAAGCATAGTAAAGCACAGCAGCAATGGAGTCCAAAGACAAAAGCTCATACAGGTGCTGAAAATTCTCCCGTGATATTTTCAAGCGCCTTTCCGCGAGGGTCGTAGCCAGTTCCTTATTCTTCCCCAGCTGCAGCGCGCGCTGGTAGACCGCAGGGATCTGCCCGTCGGAACTGGCCAGTTCAAAGGTGAGTTGCGTGTGCATGGCGAGATAACAACCTGAGATTCACGATTCACTGGATTTTTCAGATTACCCTTCAGCAATCAAACAATATCAAACATGGCTGGGAAAGCCCCTGTAAATGGAGGTTTTAATGGGAAAATCATCAATCTATGGATTGTCAATTGCCGTGTTTGATAACAGGAGGGTGGCGATGGGATTGGTTACAGTGACTGCTCGGTAGCTGGCTTGTCTCGCCCTATCCGCCGACCCCGGCAGACGCAAGGGGGAGCGCGCCAGGGAATAATACTTTTGACTCTTGTTTCGGACTACTACCGCAGCGGGCGCAGCCGACCCCGGCAGACGCAAGGGGGAGCGCGCCAGGGCCATGGTGTTTCCCCGTCGGGAGGGCCGTGTCTTTGTGGGCACAGCAGCAGCACCAGCAGCAGTGCTGTTTGATTGCAGCAGCACAACAGCAGCACCACAGCAGCAGCAGCAGCCACCAGCAGCAGCACCAGCAGCCGGCAGCAGCAGGGAGCAGCAGGCAGCAGCAGGCAGCAGGCAGCCGCAGGCAGCAGCAGGCAGCAGCAGGCAGCAGCAGGCATCAGTAGGCAGCAGCAGACACAAGCAGACGCAGCAGTAAGCGCAACGGCAGCAGTGCAGCAGCTAGCAGCGAGTTAGCAGCCAGCCTCGAGAAACGTATAGCAAGCTTTTTGTAGGAGATTTCGGAAGGGACGTTCCGGCCCCGGGACACGCATATTTTGGACTCTGTTCGTCCTTCAGGGCCATGGTGTTTCCCCGTCCGGGAGGGCCGTGTCTTTGTGGGCACAGCAGCAGCAGCAGCAGTCGCTGTCACCCTTCAGTAGCATGGAGTTTCCTTGCCGGAAGCCGCCTTTTTGAAGAGTCAGGTGCACCAGCAGCAGCAGCCAGCAGCAGCAGCAGCAGCAGCCCCCAGTAGCCAGCATCGAGAAACGTATAGCAAGCTATTTTTCTAGGAGATTTCAGAAGGGACGTTCCGGCCCCGGGAAACGTCTATTTTGGACTCCATTCGTCCTTCAGGGCCATGGTGTTTCCCCGTCCGGGAGGGCCGTGTCTTTGTGGGCACAGCAGCAGCAGCAGCAGCAGCACCAGTAGCTGTTTCTTGCTTTGGAAGCTGTTTGATTGCAGCAGCACAACAGCAGCAGCAGCAGCCACCAGCAGCAGCACCAGCAGCAGGGAACAGCAGGCAGCAGCAGGCAGCATGCAGCCGCAGGCAGCAGCAGGCAGCAGCAGGCAGCAGCAGGCATCAGTAGGCAGCAGCAGACACAAGCAGACGCAGAAGTAAGCGCAACGGCAGCAGTGCAGCAGCTAGCAGCGAGCGAGCAGCCAGCCTCGAGAAACGTATAGCAAGCTTTTTGTAGGAGATTTCAGAAGGGACGTTCCGGCCCCGGGACACGCATATTTTGGATTCCGTTCGTCCTTCAAGGCCATGGTGTTTCCCCGTCCGGGAGGGCCGTGTCTTTGTTGGCACAGCAGCAGCAGCAGCAGCAGTCGCTGTCACCCTTCAGTAGCATGGAGTTTCCTTGCCGGAAGCCGCCTTTTTGAAGAGTCAGGTGCACCAGCAGCAGCAGCAGCAGCAGCAGCCCCCAGTAGCCGGCATCGAGAAACGTATAGCAAGCTTTTTCTAGGAGATTTCAGAAGGGACGTTCCGGCCCCGGGAAACGCCTATTTTGGACTCCGTTCGTCCTTCAGGGCCATGGTGTTTCCCCGTCCGGGAGGGCCGTGTCTTTGTGGGCACAGCAGCAGGGAGCAGCAGGCAGCAGCAGGCAGCAGGCAGCCGCAGGCAGCAGCAGGCAGCAGCAGGCAGCAGCAGGCATCAGTAGGCAGCAGCAGACACAAGCAGACGCAGCAGTAAGCGCAACGGCAGCAGTGCAGCAGCTAGCAGCGAGACAGCAGCCAGCCTCGAGAAACGTATAGCAAGCTTTTTGTAGGAGATTTCAGAAGGGACGTTCCGGCGCCCTTCAGTAGCATGCGGTTTCCTTGCCGGAAGCCGCCTTTTAGGGACTTTTTCGCCGCCTTTTTTGCGCCTTCTCCGTCCTTCACTGCCATGGTGTTTCCCTGTCCGGGGGCTGTGGTTTTGCACGGTCTTTCCTCGCCCAAGAACCGCGTTTTGGAGCGGGACAAGTAGCTCAGAAATCGGGAGTTTTTCGTCGCCTTTTTTGCGCCTTCTCCGTCCGTCACTGCCATGGTGTTTCCCTGTCCGGGGGCTGTGGTTTTGCGCGGTCTTTCCTCGCCCAAGAACCGCGTTTTGGAGCGGGACAAGTAGCTCAGAAATCCTCATTTTCTATGGGTTTCAGAAGTTACGTTAGGGACTTTTTCGCCGCCTTTTTTGCGCCTTCTCCGTCCTTCACTGCCATAGTGTTTCCCTGTCCGGGGGCTGTGGTTTTGCGCGGTCTTTCCTCGCGTTTCAACAGATACGTTAGGGACTTTTTCGCCGCCTTTTTTGCGCCTTCTCCGTCATTCACTGCCATGGTGTTTCCCTGTCCGGGGGCTGTAGTTTTGCGCGGCCTTTCCTCGCCCAAGAACCGCGTTTTGGAGCGGGACAAGTAGCTCAGAAATCCTCATTTTCTATGGGTTTCAGAAGTTACGTTAGGGGCTTTTTCGCCGCCTTTTTTGCGCCTGCTCCGTCCGTCACTGCCATGGTGTTTCCCTGTCCGGGGGCTGTGGTTTTGCGCGGTCTTTCCTCGCCCAAGAACCGCGTTTTGGAGCGGGACAAGTAGCTCAGAAATCCTCATTTTCTATGGGTTTCAGAAGTTACGTTAGGGACTTTTTCGCCGCCTTTTTTGCGCCTTCTCCGTCCTTCACTGCCACGGTGTTTCCCTGTCCGGGGGCTGTGGTTTTGCGCGGTCTTTCCTCGCCCAAGAACCGCGTTTTGATGCGGGACAAGCTCAGAAATCCTCATTTTCTATGGGTTTCAGAAGTTACGTTAGGGACTTTTTCGCCGCCTTTTTTGCGTCTTCTCCGTCCTGCACTGCCATGGTGTTTCCCTGTCCGGGGGCTGTGGTTTTGCGCGGTCTTTCCTCGCCCAAGAACCGCGTTTTGGAGCGGGACAAGTAGCTCAGAAATCCTCATTTTCTATGGGTTTCAGAAGTTACGTTAGGGACTTTTTCGCCGCCTTTTTTGCGCCTTCCCCGTCCGTCACTGCCATGGTGTTTCCCTGTCCGGGGGCTGTGGTTTTGCGCGGTCTTTCCTCGCCCCAGAACCGCGTTTTGATGCGGGACAAGTAGCTCAGAAAGCTTCATTTTCTATGGTTTCAGAAGTTACGTTAGGGAGTTTTTCGCCGCCTTTTTTGCGTCTTCTCCGTCCTGCACTGCCATGGTGTTTCCCTGTCCGGGGGCTGTGGTTTTGCGCGGTCTTTCCTCGCCCAAGAACCGCCTCACCCTTGACCGTTCTTTCCTGTCCCAAGAAATTCTGAATCTACAAATTGGAATAATTTTTCCTGCCTCTTGTCGCAAATGCCCAAGCGTTATTTGGTTTTGAACCCCAACAGCTGCAGTAGTTGCTGCAATCCAACGGTTTCTTTTTTCCGGG